ACTAATTACACTCACTTGTATGCAATTGCTTGGCTAAATTAGGACTTTGGTGGTAAGAGTATATAAGGAGAGGTGAAGGCGTAGTAAAGAGAGATTTCAGAGAGACTTCTACTGTCACTGGTCTCCTGGTGGTCCTTCATCCCCAGACCCTCTCCCTGTCCGTGTTACTGGCTCCGCTGGCCAGAACAAACGGCACCTACTGAGGGGCACGGCATGTGGGACAATCTGAGGGACCCCTGGAACTATGAAGGTAAGCTTAGAGTTAAAAATGTTGTAGGGTCATAAGTGATTTCATCCCCAGACCCCTTCCCTGTCCTGGGGCACAAGGGATAATCTGAGGGACCCTTGGAACTCCAGAGGCAAGCTTAGAATTAAATATTATGCAGAGGCATAAGTAAGAGCTATCACGGGGCAAGAACTCACTAAAGTGCAGAGTTTAAGAGAGCCTGAGATCTGCTGCAGTCACAAGGCACTGACACTAAGCTTAGACCGCACACAAATTCATTGAAACTGTCTGTGATGTATCCTCATGGATTACTCTCCTTGTAGCCACTTTTTCCCTCTGGTGCTTGGTAAAGAATGCTTTGTCATCCCCTCAAGCGGTGGTGCATCCCTTCCTTGAAATACTATCCATAAGAAGGGGGAGGGAACCCAAAGCCAGGGTAAGAAAAAAAGAACCCCAAACCAGAGTAAGAAGACAGAGGGGACTACAAACCAGGGTAAAAAAGAAGAAACCCTAAACCAGAGAAAGTCTGGAGAAACTGCGCAAAGAAGTTTCATGGTCCTCTTCAGAGGAGGAGCAAGGGGAAGAGGATGGAAGTGAGTTTGCCGAGGATCCTCCACCCATAGAGCATGTGCCACAGAGCCTGTGGCCAGCAAAAACCTCTTTTGGCAAGGAACAGAGCCCTCTGCGCCGCCTATGCTGTCAGTGCCATTAAATCTGGGCACAGCTGTGAAAGATTTATAGGAGCAACTTCAGTGTCTCTCCCTTCAGTTGAGGCAGGATTAGCTATAGGCCCAGACAAAATACAACTTGTTTTTCTGTTTAATTATTTGGGATTTCAACTTTTTCAGAATTGTATTAAACTCCCCAAAATTTTCATAGCCACAGGAAAGTTGCAAACTCAATGATTTTCAAAATTTGTTGGGAGACATTAATTGGATGAGACCCAGTTTGAAACTTACTAATGCAGATTTGAAACCTTTGTTTAATATCTTAAAAGGCGACTTCTCTCCAGCATCCCCTAGGGTGCTGACTATGGAGGGATATCAGGCCTTACGCAAGGTTGAGGTGGTCATTGAACAAACCCATTTGACCAGAATTGATTACAATGCCCCACTTTTATTTATTGTTGTAGCATCCTCATATACACCTACGGGGGTATTTTATCAGCGGGGGCCTATATTGTGGGAAAATTTGCACATCTCTCCCTCTAACACAATTGTGCCTTACAATTTGGCCATAGCAGAGTTGATACAGAAAGTCATTAAGAGCAGCCTAAGACATTTTGCGAAGGTCCCAGATACCATTGTCATTCCATACACTCAGAAGCAGCTTTTGTGGCTGCAAAATATGAAAGAGACTTAGGCAATACTTTTGAGCACTCTAAATGTTAATTTTGACAACCGCTATCCCAAGGACCCCATTGTACAGTTTTTTTTAAAAAATTTTACATCCTGTTGTTTTTCCACTTGTAATCTCTCTTCAACCATTGCCAGAAGCATTAACTATTTTCACTGATGGGTTGTCTAATGGTCAGGCAGCTTTTGTAATAGATGGCCAGGTTACCACCATCCCCACAGTCTTCATCTCAGGTTGTGGGATTGGTGGCAATTCTTGTGGCCTTTAATTTGTATACTGATAGCGCATATGTTGCCCATTCCCTTCCCATGCTAGAGACTGTGGGCCAAATTTCTTCCCACTCTGCAGCAGTGTCCCTATTTGCAAAAATTCAAGCCTGTATTTGGGCCCGCAAATATAAATTCTTTGTGACTCATATTTGAGTCCATTCAGGTTTGCCTGGGCCCTAAACATCAGGATATGTGGCTGCAGATCCAGCCACCAAATTGGGGACTCAGCCCTTGAGGAAGCACAAAAGACACATGCTAGGTTTCACTTGAATTCCAACACCCTTCATTTGTGATTTAGTTTGACCAAGGAACAAGCCAGAACTATCATGAAGCAATGCTCAGTGTGCCCTCAATTTTTGCCTGTTCTCCATTATGGCGTGAATCCCCGAGAATTGTTACCCAATCATGTCTAGCAAATGGACATGACACACATCTCAGAGTTTAGGACACTGAAGTGTGTGCATGTTACTGCTGACACTTGCTCTGGATTTATTCTAGCTACTCCTCAGATAGTGGAATAAGTCAGGCATGCTCTAGCCCATTGCAATGCACATGGTTTTGCATCTTGGAAACTCCCAAAGTTATTAGAACTGATAATGGCCCCTGTTATATCAGCGGTAAGTTTTGTGATTCTTCTGACTCCCACAATATATACAACTAACTACAGGCATTCCTTATAATCCTCAGGGACAAGGTATTGTGGAACACGCAAACCATGCTATTAAGAATTACCTTATTAAACAAGAAAAAGGGGGAATATAGCATTCCCTGAGATCATTTGAACCTTGTATTATTTATCTTAAAATTTTTAACATTGGATGCTGAAGGAGTGTCTGCTGCAGATTGTCATTGGAATCCGTCTTGGGAGCAGAAGTGTTACATGATGTGGAAGGATCCCTTGACTGGTCAGTGGCAAGGCCCAGATCCTGTCCTCATATGGAGATTGTGTTTTTCCAGAAAACAAAAATGGCCCACAGTGGATTCCTGAGAGGCTTGTCCGGCAAGCTCCTGCTGCTGTTTTGTGAAAGCTCGGGTACTGGTCATGCTGATGGCATTTGAGTAAGAAGATCAATGGAACAAGCAATTATATTGGGGCTTTGTTAAGCACCCCTCCTTTTTTTTCTTCTTTCTGTGAGCCCTGAGATTCCAATATTTCTTGCCATTTTCTCCTTAAATCAGACTACCAGACTGCAAAGTGTACAACACCAGCTGTTGGGGCCCAGCGGTGTGGCCTAGAGGCTAAAGTCCTCACCTTGAACACACCTGGATCCCATATGGGCACCGGTTCTAATCCCAGCAGCTCCACTTCCCATCCAGCTCCCTGCCTGTGGCCTGGGAAAGCAGTTGAGGACAGCCCAAAGCCTTGGGACTCTGCACCCCTGTGGGAAACCTAGAAGAAGTTCCTAGATCCTGGCTTCGGATCAGCATAGCATCGGCTGTTGTGCTCACTTGGGGAGTGAATCATTGGATGGAAGATCTTCCACTGTCTCTCCTCCTCTCTGTATATCTGACTTTCCAATAAAAATACATAAATCTTAAAAGAAAAAAAAAACCAGCTGTTGGGAGCCTCACCCTCCCTTTAAAAATAGCTCAATTTCTGCCTGTGCTTTTTTTGTTTTATCATTCCCCTTTTATTACCATGGCAAAAATACCTTTCTATGTGGCAGCTTGTGGGGAATGGGGATGCACTTGCATGAGCCCCCTTTTCCTTATTCATGGGTGCAATTATTCCTATGGAAATTATCAGTTCAATCACTCCTCTGGATTTGAGGACTCACTCATGTGGGTGAAGCTTAGCTCCTTGAATTTTAAACCCATGTCCGCCTGTGATATCCCCCTGTTTTTCTCTTATGTACAGGAAGTGCCTCTGAAGTCAATTACACCAAGGTCAATTACCAACTAACAGCATGTTGGAATGGCAATGGTGATACTGCTGTTATCATGCGGCTTGCCCGGAATCCTACCTGTGCCTGTCAGAGCTAACGGAGTGACCTCTGTTGGCCTGATAAGGCTAAAAGAGACTTTGGTATAACAGCAACCATTGTAGCCAGTACTGCCTTGGCGTCAGCAGCCACCGTCACCACAGTGGTGACTCTAGGACACCCTACAGCTACCGCAGAGACCATGAACAAGCTCGCAGAACAGACTGCTTGAGTCATGGAACAACAACTTTATTAATGAACACGTGCGGGTGGGCATGCTTACGTTGTAACAGCTGTGGGAGACGGTCAGTGCCTCTTGTTCCCCATCATATGCCTTTATGTGTGTGACACCTATGCAAGTGCAAAATGTTTTCCATGCCCGGGAACAGCTGTATGCTTGTTGCTACCTCGCTAAAGATACTCCGAGACATGGAACACGGCTACCAGCCTCCCCAAGAATAGTTTGTGCAGCTGCAGCAGGAACATGTTGAATGGCAGCCACTAATGGGTAAGATGGACTGGGCACTGACCAACCTAAGACAGGTTCCGTCATGCTAGGGAGATTCCAGATGACGGGTAAGGCTGATGACCTGAGAGTCCACAACCTAAGACAGACACATTCAAGTCTGCTTTAAAACAAAAAAGAGGAACCTGTTGTAAGCTAAGGAGTTGATTAACACTGGTTGGACTGGACAGTAACAGGAACTGGGCTTGCAGCTAAAAACAAACACATAGACTAATTGGACTCAGCTGTATCCAATTGCTTGGCTAAATTAGGACTTTGGTGTTAGAGTATATATGGAGAAGTGAAGGCGTAGTAAAGAGAGATTTCAGAGAGACTTCTATCGTCACTGGTCTCCTGGTGGTCCTTCATCCCCAGACCCTCTCCCTGTCCATGTTACTGGCTCTGCTGGCCAGAGCACTCTGTGATGTTGACAAATGCCTCTACCTTCATTTGGGATCAAAAGGCAGGTATAAGTCTGTCCCCAGTGTTCTGGAGCTCAGAGAGACTGAAAATTTCATTAGAGGTAAGGGAGGGTTTAGGAAATAAGAGCAGACCAGAGCAATGCCCACCCTGAGTAATCCTGCCTTTGCAACAGATAGCAAGATGGTGTCATGTGGGTGGGGTTGTCGGGAGACATTCCAATTAGAGCAAAGGAACAGGGAGAGGAGGAAAAACAGAGAGAGGTGTTCTGCACTCTCACACTGTTACTCATTATAACTCACCTATTGAGAAAGGCAGAAAGGATTCCCTCTTCTTAAATTGTCCATTCTCCAGAAAATGCTCTGGATTGAAGGTGTCAGGAGTGGCCCATTCTTTTGGATCCTTGTGCAGTGCAGTCAAATTGGTCAGGATCAGAGTCCCCTGGAGAAGGCAACCCAGATTCAGGTGAGGCTACAAGCCATGCAGTGGTGATGGTGATCCCTGGTCTCCCGCACCAAGGCCTTGCCAGAGCCTGATCACCTGTTCCTTCCCAAACACATCACCCTGAGCCTACTGCCGCAGGCTCCTCCCCTTTGTATAGGAGAGAATGAGGGACTGCAATTGCAGGCTTGAGGTTTTCCCAGAAGAATGTGGATAATCTTGATGGTATCAAGGTCATTTCTACAAGGAGAGGTCAGTGTAGGACTTGGGAGGCGACATGAATTCAAGACAGCTGTGCCACTAGACCAGCTGTGTTAACACTAGACCATGATCAACCCAACTGCTCAATGAAGTGATGACTATGGCAACGCTAATCAATGTCTCGGCCATTCTCTTCCTTGCACAGATTAGTGCATGGTGCTTATTCCCACAGTGAGTAAAAAGACCAGGTAGCCTAGTATAAGCAATTCTTGTCCATCTAACTATCGAGTGAGAAATTGAGAAGTCACCCAGAGTGAGCTTTCCCTCCTTTGCCTTCAGGTAGCCAATAAATGGGTCTGATTGATGGCACTTTAAATTTTGATCTTATCACATCCACATCTACCACTATCACATCAAGTACCTAAACTCCTGTAATCACTGGTTCTCTATGCCGCAATCCTGTCATACTCTTAATGTGCTCCAACCCTGAAAACAGAATGGATCTTGAACATTACATAATCATGATATGTCCCCATTTACTTCAAGTTTATAGTCTGTAAATTCCCATTGCTCTTAGAATAAACACATGTTTCTCCCTTTCTGGTCAAATTCCTTCTCTGTATGTACTACCACAATATAGGCTTACTTCCAGCTTCTCTTTTTTTGAAATTTGAATTTTGTATTAATGAAAAGAGTACAGATTTCATCTAATTCATAGATAAAATTCCAGAAAGATATCTATCCTTTCCTCCAGTTTCTTAATGACATGTTCCCATTCACTTCAAAATTTCAAAATATTTAAAAAATGTATTTAATTGATTTGAAAGGTAATTTACGTGGCAGAGAGAATGATAGAAAGGGAAGGGAGGGAAGGAGAAAAGGACAGAAAGAAACCTTTAATCCATTTTTTACTTCCCAGTGCTGCCAACAGCCAGGTCAAGCCAGGAAACAGAAACACAGTTGGTCTCCCAGCAGGGCAAGGCTTCTACAACCTGAGTTATCTCCTACTTCCTTCCCAGGGTACACATTAGCAATAAACTTGAATGGAGATTTCGGGCTTTCTAACAAGGTTCTCTAATATGGGATTTGAGATCCCAAAGGGTAGCTTAACTGCTCTACCAAATGCCTACCTCATACTGCCTTATTAAACAATGTACATTTCAAGGAATCTTCTTCAACATCACTCCTTGAGCTAACTTTCCTGTCATCATCAGCTCAAGCATCAGTCCCTCTTGACCACCCGTAATCTTACTTTCATCCAGCTGTCAATATCTTTACAGAACTCAGTGAAATATTTCCTTTGGGCAGCTATGGCTTGTAAGAGGTGCTCAAGCGATTCTTTTGTTCAAAAATGATTTTCTCTAACCTGGGCATTTCAGCTGCTTAGTGAATTGGTCCTGGCATGGTAGCCTAGTGCTAATGTCCTCACCTTGCATCCACCAAGATACCGTAAGGGGACCAATTCATATACAGGCTCCTTTTCCCTTCCAGCTCCCTTCTGGTGGCTTCTGAAGACAGCTGAGGATGGCCATCAACTTTAGAACCCCTGCACCCACATGGGAGACTTGGAACAAGCTCCTACCACCTGGCTTCAGATTGGCCATTGTGGCTGCTTGGGGAGTGAACCAGTAGATGGAAGACCTTTCTCTGTCTCTCCTCTCTGTAAATTTGCCTTTCCAATAAAAAATGAATAAACCTTAAATAACTGTTATTTTGAGTATGTTCTATACAATATACTAACTTAAAGACTCTGCCTGATGATCTCATTTTGCAGCCACATAGATCCTATGAAAGAAGTTCAGTGCATTTTAAAGATGCAGGTATATGATCTAGCAGAAAAGACATTGCATCCTATGTCAGAGTGCCCAGGTTTGATACCTGGCTGCACATCTGCCTCTAGCTTCCTGCTAATGCAGGTCCAGGGAGCCACCAGGAGATGAATCAGCTAATGGGGTTCTTTCCAGCTGCACCTTCTTGAGCTCCTATCTCTGAGTTTCACCCCCTGACCCTTGGCTGTTGTATGGATTTGGGAAGTAAACTCATTGGGAGATTTCTGTCTATGTCTGCCTCATAGTTGTTTTTCATGAACTATTAAAAAAGAAAAATGCAATTATTCATCTGTAAAAACAGAAGCTCTGAGGGTGATATGACATGCATAGAATCACACAGAAAGAGGAGATACAGCAAGTTATGACTCTGTCCCCATCTAGACAGTCTCAGCTCAGTAATGGTTCCTAGCCTCTGCAACATACAATTAGTTAGATTTTTCATTTCTCAGGATGGTAATAAAAGACTGTTAAGCTCAACTGAGTCACTGCAGTTACATTACTTGTTATAAAAATACAAACAGAAGTTTGGAACTCAGAGTTTGGCATCCACCCAGAAGACTGTCCGTTAGAAAGGCACCAGTCAATGCAGCACCTGCTTCTCCTGGCTCTGGAGGGACAGGATTCAGAGTGTCCAGTGGGAAAATTCTTTTGGTTCTATCTCTTGAGATTGTCCCTAAGTAAGGCATATTGTGAGGGACTTAGACAAAATTCTATAGGTCCACAGGGGCTGGCCAAGCTAAGTCACACATAAGGGAATGAACTGCAACTGTGCAGTGTGGGGAGAGCACCACGGGTTGCAGGAAAGCTGCCCTATAGAGTTCATGGATAAGGTGGAGTAAGGGAGGATTCTGCGAAGACTGAAAACTTCACAGGTGAGAAGTGAGAAAATTTTAGAGGACACAGTTTGAAACTTGAAATCAAACAATTCCTACAGAGAGAGGCTATTTCAGCAAAAGCAATCAGAACAGATCATATTCTAAATTCCAATTTGGGTCACTTGATATTTGAAAGACTTTATTCAAACTTAACTTCTTTGCCCTTGACTTCCAGAAATGTGAGATAGGAAAAATATAGAATTAATGATATTTTAAATGTTATTAAGGAGTCTACATAACGTAGTGTTGCTCATTGAGTACTTACTCATCTCTTTCCCTCTAAAGTTCCCTACCTTGGCAACCCAAGGAAAAGTTGTTAAATATATATTGTGTAATGTTAGAAACACCATGATTGTTGTAATGTTGGCCCAAGTGGTCTCAAATGTCCTCTAAATGTTTCAAAACATGCCCTGGATCATATAAACAGAATTTGGCATGTTCCTAGTCTTCAGAAATGCTTTCCCATGACAATCAAAAAATGTTCTGTGGGAACATCCAAGAAGTAATTGTGACTTGGTATGTGTCCATAAATATTCATGACATACTTTAGTGGAAGTGAAAATGTAAAGTTCTCAAAGAAAGCAAGGACAATCCAGTACTGGTTTCAACATGTTACACTTGGAAATGTCCCCTTCTCCATGCCCCCTAACCTCATTAGTATATATAGTTAAACTAATATTTTAAAGACAGTGCATGAGGAAAATGTAAAAAGTAACATGTATCTTTTCCCATTTAGTCTATTCCCCAGAACAAGAATATCTGTCACTCTTCAAGTTCAGGCTCCCATCATTTTTTAGGGGGTTTGCAGATCTGAGATTGGGAGTGCTTAATTACCTTGGGCAGGTTGTATCCGGCCAAATTGGTATCAACTGTCACTTCCCTGGGCACGTTGAAGGGGACGATGTTACCCATTCTCTGAATCTCATGGATGACAGCATTCGTGTAGGGCAGGGATTCTCGGAAAGCCATGCTTGGCTGCTGCCACCGGCCAATCACACTGTCAATCTCAGCATGTACCTTTTCTGGAGAGAAGAGGAGATTCCATTTCTGTAAAGGTTTCATATATTCATGAGATTTCAATATATGAATATATTATGGATATATATATGAATATACTCATGAGAATTCAATATATGAAGTCTCCCAAAGATCTCACAAGCCATGGTTCAATTAGTGATCAACTTTGAATGAATAAAATGGTTTTCAACTCTTCAAAAGGCTGATTAGAAAACTGTCAACTCCATTACTTTTCTTGAGCCCGGTTAGGCTTAGGAATAGAATAAACAGAATTAACACGGCTAAACTTGTAGTAGGATCTTTTCTTAGTGCATTCCGGCCACTAAAGCAAACAAGAGACTGCATGGTTGATAGACTATAGGAATTTACTTCTCACAGTTCCAGAGCCTGGGAAATCTAAGATCCAGGTACCAGGATGTTCCGTTATTCAATTAGTAGCTCAAGGATGGCTCCTTTTCATTGTATTTTCATGTGGTGAAGGAGCAAGGCAGATCTCTGGGGTCTTTTTGGTAATGTCACTAATCCTAGTCATGAGAGATAAACACTCTCTAAAGGCCCTACATCCTAAAGCGTAATACTGGTCATGAGATTTCAATACATGAAGTTTGTGGGTGAACGTTAATTTCTCAGACCATAGCAGATACATACACTACAATTTGTCAAAGTGACACGCAAGCAGTCTTTGTAACATTTGCAGACAAATGAAAATAAAGCAGATACTGCAAATACCCAAAAACCCTAATCTAAAAGAGAAAGTGTGTACTGAGATAAGACCAATCTGATTGCTATCTCTTACTGTACAACATTATTGCTGTAAGCCACTTAAATTCTTCAAGCCTAGGTTTTCTCAATTGATCAGTGAGAATAAATTTATATTCGTATTGAGGATTGCCATATAAAACATAGATGAACTGATTTTTGGGAGTAATAATTATTGCGGGAAGTTTCTAGCCATACTCAAAATATGTTTCATTTTTTCCTGGGTGTCCAGCTGAAGACTCTTTCAGATTCCCGGTTTTCTAAGTGTAACTTTGTCACTAAACTGTAGTCAACAGAAACTATGTAGAGTGCTTAATCCTGCGACAAGCCCTGAAGGGGAAAGTGCGTACTCTCTTCTCTTTCTGCTGCTATAAAGGCAGCCCTAGTGTTAAGCCAACCTAGAAAGTGCTGGAGGGGGATCCTTCCCAGATACAACAAAACAAATCAGAAGCAGTTGCCACCTTGGGCTTTTTGCAGGACCCAGCTTACTTTTCTTTTAATCCAAGAGAAAATAAAGCTTTTTATTGTTTTATTGTCCATAAAATTGCAATTGTAGTTTAATACATATCTATTGTATTTATTGTCCTAGTCATTTTACGCTAATATCCAGTATATTCTTTTTGTGGTGTAACCAAGCTCCAGAAATCTGCACCTTGCAAAATTGAAACTCAATAATATATTTTAAGCAACTCTCTATTTTCCCATCCTGAGCCTCTGGACACAGTCATGTTTCCTTCAGTTTCTGGAATTTGATTATTTTAAATAATTCATGTAACTGGAACCTTACAGTGTTTGTGACTGACTCACTTAACATAATGTTTTCAAAGATCATCTATACTACAGCCTACGTCAGAATTTGCTTCCTTACTAAAACAGACTTATCTGCACTTTATGAATCTACTCACTGTTGAAAGGTCCTTGGGTTGGTTTTACCACTTGACTAATGTGAATAATATTGCTGTAAACATGGGTGTCAACTTCTATCATTTTATTCCATTACTATTTTCGATAGAACATTCCAGAATCCAAGTACATATGCTAAGTTAGTAACTTTAAACTTTTGAAAAAGTAATCCAGTTGGAAATGCAATTCAAATCATGACCCAGGACACATATACATAAATGTAAACACATTGAAAATACGCATTTCCCCCCCATATGTAAAAGAGGATTTCAATGGACAGTCTTCTGATATTTCTAGTTTTTCTTTTATGGTCTTGTTGCAATGATTAGATGCCATGCCTCATATAAAAACCACAACAACAACTTGAAAAAACATGCAATAACAATTTCTATCTTCCATAAGCATAACCTCTTTTGGGAGCTAATGGAAGAAAAATGATGAGAATAACCATTGTCTAGGGTGGGGGAGCTCTGTCAATTCGGATGATCCCTATTCAGGATGTTTTTGATGAGAAACTGCACTCTGAATTTTGGTCTTCCCCTAGCCTGCCACAACTCTCTCTTGGCATGTTGGGCAGCTACATAATCACAGGAGGAGTATACCTACACTCTACTGCAACCTCACTAGGAGTGAGGTTCCATAGGTGACATGCATCTTCTATAAAGACATTTCCAATTTACAATGGGATTATCAGGATTCCAAACCCCTTGTAAATGGTGAATCATGTGGTTGTGCAGGAGGTTTTCTCTAGAGGAAGGAAATGTGCTAAGTAACTAGGTAGAGGAGCAGAGAAACATCTTATGGAGGAAGTGTTTGGGCAGAAACTCAAGATTGAAGATTTCCCATGTAGAAAAAATTGGGAAAGTGCATTCTTGGTCATGGGAAGAGCAGAAGTCAAGATAGATGTCATGAATAAGGTAAGTGTAAATAAAATAATTCATAATTTGCAGAAGCCACCAAGGAGGGTAGGTGGTTTTGAGGCCAAGCATGCAGAAAAGGGCGGAGGTTTTATACCAGGAGGAAATTGGGCATTTCCCAAGGGAACATATGAAAGCAGTACTAAATAGAAAGGAAGGGTATGAGTAGTTCTTTTTTTTTTTGTATGACAAAATAACTCCTGGATCTAATCACAATGTTAATCCGCTTCATGGTTTCCCAAGCTCTGCCTCCCCCAAAAGTTCTGCCCAGACTGTGAGCTTCTTGGGCACAGAGCTACTCTGCTATGTATGTATTGCCTTGACTCATGATAATCCTAATGACATTAAAAAAAAAAAAGTTCCCTAGAACACATGATCTCATGGCTGCTTTCTCCCTCCTTCCACTCCACCAGCTTATATCTGGGCCCTTTCTTTAGGTAGAGGTCATCCTGTTGTCCTGGTCCTACCACGCTCCCTGACAGGCTCACCTTGGACTTCCGGATACATGGCCATGTACAGCAGACCCCAGCGCAGTGTTGTAGAAGTTGTCTCTGTGCCAGCCAAGAAGAGGTCCAAAGTGCAGCAGATAAGGTTTTGTTCAGTGAAACTTGAAGTAGCATTAGCCTTGCATGAAGAAGCACAGTGGTTAATAGCTTTTTAGGATTTGTCATTACCACAGCTCACAAAGGCATCATTCTGTGTCAGTGATGACTTGGAAGGGAATGGTCCCAGAAGAAAGGTCTTCCCTTAAGTCTGTTCAGCAAGGAAAGGCACTTTACAACAACATCATCAGTATTGTTTTACTCAAAGATCTCAAAGCCAACGAAGATGTTCCAGCACTTGGTGGGATGAAAACCAAGGCAACTATCACTTTATCTATTATTTTGCAAGGGATTATTACTATAGAAGACAGAGTAGTTTGTAAATAAGACGTGTTTTTCCCTTCTTACCATATCACTTACTAGCTAGAAGACACAGGACAAGTTATTGACTTGTGATTATTTAACTCATTTAACAACTTATTAACTGTGCTTTAGTCATGTTTCATAAAATGAAGTAACAGTATGTACACATTCTGATGATGTTAGAAGCCATGTGGAATGAAAACGCTGTCTGTCACAGGACTCACAATGTTTTCTACAGATGTGAGAAACTAAAAACAGAATTCCTGTTTTGTACAATTTTTATCTCTATTACTATTTTCTAGTTTTAAGTCTCTCTGATTCCATCAGCAATTCACTGAGACACTCCCTCGTTTTACCACATCATCGGTGCTCTTAATGTTAATGCTCCACACCTAGACAGTGTTGGACAAGTAAACTCTTCTCCTGTGAGGAGAAAGCTGTGCTTCTATTTGTTAATGGGATTAAGGTGAAGAGAGATGGAAACAGATCAATCAATCTGCCCAGTGCAGAAGACAATAACTTGCGGTGTCGGAGCTTATGACACCATGCTGTTTGCTGCCTAGAGGACTCACTGAGTTGTAGTCTCATATATCTAATTTGGAGTTCGACCTACTTCTCACTACTAACAGGAATGTTCATGTTCCCTAGCAGTTAGGGAAATGTAAATAAAAACCACAGTGAGGTTCCACAGAGGAGCACAAGCTTTTTCTAAGTCAGAAGGTGAACTGCTGGCTTCCAACTCAGCTTTGCTGGTGATTTACAAAGGGAATTAACATGAATGGTAAGTAACTGTGCTGATGTACAACTCCTCACTAAACGAAGCACTGAGTTTCAATCATTATTTTTGTGCATAGCTTCCTCAGATACAGGTGGAAAGTAGGTATTAAGAGATGAAAATATACTAATTAGGAATTCTGAAGCCAAGCCTCATTAGCCTTTTTTTCTTTATTTTCTAATTGCTTCATCAATCCTAAGTTAATGCTACCTTGCTGCTACTATCTTGATACGCTGAAAAATGACCTAGAACATTGTAGAAATCTGTGCATATTACATGAAATGACCAAAAGCACTGTGTAGTTACAATTTAAGCAATATAAATGAGAAGATTATTCTAGATTATCACAGTGGATCCAAGAAATCCTAAGAATTTTATAGAAGAGAAATCAGGGGGTCAAAGTTAGAGAGAGAAGCTGTAAGAATGGAGATGAAGATTAGAGAAGGGAAAAGATGCTGCATTGTTCACTTTCAAAATGTTCTGAAGAAGGGGTCACAGCCAAGAAACAATGGCAGCTTCTAGAAATGAAAACAGTATGGCAATATTGTCCTTTTCTGGAGCCTCCAAAAGGAACGGCTCCATCTCACATCCTAATTCAGCCAAGTAAAACTGATTTTGGATTTCTGATGTCCAAAAGTATAAGAAAATACAATTGTTCTAGTTTAAATTAAAGTTATTATAACTTAATGCATCAGCAACTAGAAAATAGCATATCTTATTTGAACTTCAGATGCCAAATATATGAAATGGCTCAAGCTTTATTACTACCTGTTATGATCTGAAAAGGATTTGTCTCCCTAAAATTTTGCAGATGATTATACTCTGAAACCATATGTTAAATTAAGAGTGGAAACAACATAATTACGATGTCTTGGTGGTAGACCCAGTGAAAGATCTTTAAGTCACTGTGAGTATTCCCTTGAGTGGTAGCTTCTTTGAGAGGGTTTGCTGTTTAGTCTGAATTTGGTTGGCTTCTCTCTGCTCTCTGGGTCACCACCCATTTCTCCTTCCTATTTTCCACCACCAGATGTCGATCCAACACAGTTCTCCAATCTAGGACTGTGAAACGCCATACTGTGAGCATCATCAACTCTTCTTTCCACCTAAGTCACTCCTCTAAGGTATTTTTGCGGAAGTAATGGAACACATTACCATTGTCATTTCCTTGAGATATGCGTCAATGAAGTCTCTCGGTTCTTCAGGGTTCCAATCTTTCTTGTGGTTTTCAATCACACGAGAGACAAATAACTCCAATCTTTCCCAGTTGCTGAAGAGAGTTTGGTGAGGACCAGGAATGAATTTCATTATCCATGGAAAGATATTGTAGAGCTAATTGAAAAAAAGCAAATTGACCATGGAGACAACATAATAGCACTTTTGTATTTTTTAATAGCACAGAAACAGTTCCCCGGGGTCTGTATCTTATTTACTTAATGTCTGATTCATCTTTTCTCCTTCACCCATCTTCTTTCCTTGCCAGCAAAGCATTTCTTCTCTACACCCAAAATACAGAGGGTTTTCAAAAATTCATAGAGAACTTGCATTTTATGCAAAAACCATGTGCAGAGATGAACCTTTTGGCAACAAAAGAAACACATACAAACTAAGTATAGTATATCTCACAGGATCTAGTGTGTCGCACTAGGAAGAAGACACTAGAGTTCCTTTCAGAGAATGTCAATTCTGCTAAAATGCAGCAAGAAAAAAACATACAATTGATAGTGAAGTGACATCTGGGTGAAAGAATGTCAAAATCACTGAGGTTTTGTAAAACGTTCATGGGGACAATGCTCTAAACAAGTCAGCACTATAAATAGAAAACTCACTTAAGTAAAGATAAGACAACACCAAAGATGAAGCCTTTACTGGCAGACCATCCATGTAAATTTAGAACTGAAGAAAAATAATATTCAGGAGAAACCATAGCCAACACCATAGGTATCTTAATTTGTTCTGCTTCAACAACTTTGGCTAAAATACTAAGCTTGAACAAATGTGGTGCTCAATGAATGCTCAAACAACTGCTCCCAGGTTACCTGCAAGCAAGAACTGATGGCAATTTTTTCAGAAGGAGGATTAAGATCCTAAGGCATTTATTTGAAGAACTGTAACAGGAGGTGAAACAAGATTTTTTTCAGGTGCAAACAGTGTAGACCAAGCAAAAATCAGAAGGTCAGGAGCAAAGATCATGTTAGCACTTGATTTCTTTATCAGGGATGCTAAAGTCTTCCTGCGTGTTTACTTTCTGGATGATAAGAATATGACAACATCTGTTCATGATTAAAATGTCTGGAGAAAATTACTTAGAATATTAGCAGAGAAATGACCAGAAAAGTCTTGCCAGATACTCCTTCTCCATGTGACAATGTTCCAGTTCATGATTCTCAAGAAACAAAGGCAATCTAGCAAGAGTTTTTGCAGGAAGTCATTAGTGATCTACCTACGGAACTGGAAGTCAACCTGGGAATTGAACTCAGGCAGCAAGTGACTGAAGGGGTGCTTAAATACCAATTCAAAACCCTACACCAAAAATACCATTTGAAAAGTTTGTATTTTAAGGGCCAGCATATGATGCCATGGGTTAAGGTGCTGCCTGCAATGCCAGCATCCTAGATCAGAGTGCTGACTCAAGTGCTAGTCACTGTCCTTCTGATACACTTTCATATAACCTGGTTCCCTGAGAGCTGTGTGTGTGTCCAGAATAGAGATCTTGGCTTCAGGCTTCAGCAAGGCCTAGATCAAACATTTGGAGATTGAAAAAGAGGAAGATTTCTCTCTGCTTCTCTCTTTTTCTCTCCCTCTTTCGTTCTCCCTCTTTGTTATTCTGCTCTTCAAATACATACATGTGTCTCCTTTTTGAAAAGTGTAAGCTTGGAACATTAAAATAAAAAAAGAAAACTCATCTGTGTCTCATATCAACTTCAATATTCTTAGCCAGAATGTTTAATGAGAATCATCTTACCTGGCACCGAAATCTAGCTTCCAAACGCATGACCTCATCTAGTAACTTGAGCAGCTCCTGAAACTGACTGTCATGGTACTCAAACCGCTCCCCAAAGGTGATGGAGCAAATAATGTTTGAAACGGCATTGTTGATCTTGAAGTGATTGTCAAAAGGCTGTCCTGGAGGAGGAGGAAGGGAGAGAGGAATTCTTAATATTGGCTCATTTCTATTTTCTACTGGGAGTCTCAGCTATGACCTAACACATACTAGGCATGGAGCTGTGAGTCTTTGTCCACAGCACCCAGAGAAGGCCGACACACAGGAAGTACTCAGTCAATGCCAGGACAGTGAAACTGAAGACCAAGATTTATATTCAGTCATGTGTTCAACAATTGTCTCCATGTACTTAATTCTAGAACTTGAGGGCAGGCTCTACCTTTGGTGCCTGCCATAGCGCTAATATGCAAGACAGCACCTTAACATTTCTTAAGGGTCTATTTAGAGACTGCAGGGATCCCAGTCTGGACCCATGCTCTGCCATGCTTACCACCTTCCTTTTCCATTTCTTCATTGAGATGCTGGGCCTCCTCTTGAATGCGTTCCTCCAAGCTCTTCTTTCCTAAACCAAAGTTCCTTAGTGTCATCAGAGCGAATCTTCTCTGATCCTTCCACAGCTGGCCACTGGACATGATCAGTCCTGGGAAGAAGAAAACCAGCATGACGGTATTCTAATTTTAAAGATATCTGACAAATAATACAAGATAGTGTATCTGATGGATGGAAGTACGTGCATTTAACAAGCTGAGGAATTTATGGAGAAATAATCTCAAAACAAGAAAACAAATGCTAACATTTCCTGATTGTGGGTAATCTCAGGTACTTTAACTATTTGTCATGTATTATGGAATTTATTATTCACAGAAATCCTATAAGGCAGTGACAATTATCCTCCTCTCCCATTTTACTGATAGGAAAACCAAGCAACAAGTAAAAGACAAAGCAAACTTTTCTAGGTTATACAGTCTGTAAGCCACTAACCAGATACTCAATTTCAAGGGTGACTGATTCCAAAGGCCACATTTAGAATATGAGTTACATAAATATGTGTATCATGTTATACATTAGGGATGCATCATAGACAAGATAAAGTCTATACTCTTAAGAAACCTAAGAGAGGATTCCAAGATATCTGAGTAGGAAAATGACATGGTAATTTTGATCAGAAGAAGATAAAAAAAGGAAGGCAGAGAAGATGCAGTCCCAGGTTGAGTTTAAGTTAAAACTGTAGTGGAAATTCTACAAAGGGAAAGAATCCCCATAGAGCAGGCTGGGCAATGCAAACACATAACAGCAACTGGGTACACAACCAGAGACTGCTGCAGCCAGGGCCAGAGGAAATGCCGGCTTCTGAAAACAAGGTGAGAACAGTATCTGACAGCCTACACTGGTGTTATATCCAGAAGGAGAACTTGTGGTGGACACAATGGCCTTGAGACTGGTCCAGAGCCTAGAAAGGGGCAATGTAACCTAACCACCTGAGTCCTTTTAGGAAAAGTGCATGTCTTTGCCCCGCTTTTCCCAAGAGGGTACCCACTGACAATGAGGAAAGTGACATCATCTTGAGTTTTGCAGACTACCTTGCCTCAGCAGCATGCATGCATGGCAAGGGGATTTTATCACAGAGAAAAATCTGTTGGCAAGGTACTAGGAGCCCACCTTTTATTATGAGTGGGTACCTTCGCCCCACCCTATCAGAGGCTCCTGGACTCAAACTGTCCAGGTTCAGTATTCACAGGCCAATTCTTCTGGGAAAGTCTACTTTCTTTGTGGACAAGGTAGACTTAGTGGGGATAAGTCTATGTTTTGTATCCCAAAATTCATGGAATCTTAGGTCCTATGACTTTATGAATTTTTGACTGTACTACAGGACATGGACTCTGACTGGGTCTTTGGGAAATCACTGTGTCATCAGACACACAGAGATCCCTAACTGAGATTCATTGCAGAGATTCCAAGCTCATACTGAACATCCACCGATCTTTTTTGTGGCTCATTAGCAAGTATGAGTGACCATTTTACTCATTGAGGGTTAACCCCCAAACATTAATCAACTGAGAAAGAGGTGGTAAGCCTATGATTATATCAACACCTCTCCCCTATTGACAATGAGATCTGACATGCCCAACTTGGGTGAGACTGGAATCTTGCTCCTACCTTGAGCACAGACAAGAACTGGTTCCATCCAGAACATGAATGTGCATATTCATTGAAGCAGCAGACAGCCTACAAAGCCACAGAGACATAGTTCAAAGATTAAAGCATCAGAGGAGAAAACTACAAGCGTATCCATAGATGCCTAAAAAGACAGAAAAACAAGAAAAAAAGGAAGATTATGTGACACTCTAAAAGTTACCCAACAATTCCCCAATAATAGATTGTGAAGACAGATTGAAGAAAAGTCTGAAAAGGAATAGAAAAAAAATAATCCCAGGATTACTTATATACACACAGAAACAAATGAATGAGATAAATACAGAAAAACATGGCTGAAAAATTATGCAAGAAGATTGGGATACTGAAAAGAAATCAATTTGAACTATTAGAAATGAACAATTCAATATGTCGTAGTCAAATGGCTAATGAAACTGCCAACCCAGAATATTGCACCCAGGAAAGTTCTCATTTGTAAATGAAGTCAAAATAAAGACCTTCCAAAACAAACAGAAATGGAATGAATTTTTCATGACCCATACAACCTTACAAATGATACCAAAGGATGTAGTACACCAGAAACAAAGAATGATGTTCACCATATTGAAAGAGAAGATAGAAAATCTCCTAGTAAAAATATAAAGGAAATCCCAAACAAACCATGGGGATATTCATGGAAAAAGTGTGAAGTAGCTGTGATCTAACCTGCACTTTGATTTGGAATGAGGACATCCCCAATTGTGGTATGACCCACCACACCACAGTACTTACCCACTATGTATTGTTATATCAGTCATACCTGGCTCTGAGCTTCACATGTTCACAGATGTTACAGTGAGTGAATGTGGAACTGACGAACTATTTCAAAGAGGAATAGGCAAGCACCTACAAATGGCGCTTTGATAGAGTAATACATTTTCACTCTGATTTTTTTTTACAACTTTAAGTGTATTTAGCAATAATTTTAAAGATTCATGTCAAACTCTCCTAGCAGAGCCTGAAATATTTGACCTATTATGGCAGGTCTTTTCAATAGAGCATAAGGACCAAGAGCAGGTGCAGCAGAAAGCAGCAGGTCCATATCCATTGTCCTAAGGAAAGAGGTTTAGGATGAGAATGTGAGACAGAGGAAGCCACTGACACTCCTCTGCTGTAACTGAGTTAGGTGATACTTCCATCATCAAAGTCATCAGAGGGCACTGTGCAGAGCACATGGTACTTCCTCATATCTCTCTGAGAATTTCACCAAATCCTCTAATTAGTCACTTTCGATTGGAAAATGTCAGTATCTAGCTTCCATTCACAACCAAAATTTGATAATGAGGCTGATTGGTGGGGGAGTTATAAAATTACAGTCACAGAAGCATGTTTAACAGATGACAAGAATATCAAATACCCACCTTACACTGGCCAAAGCCTTACCATATTTCTTGAAGACACGTTCTCGGATAGGGGGCAAGGGGCGGCTCAGAAAGTTTTGGTCCATTTGAACAAGGGCTTCTTTGATTAAGGGCAATCCAGTTATAATCATGATAGGTGAGCCACCCATTTCCAGGCTAATAACATTCCCAAATTTCTTCACCATCTAAAAAATAGTTAAGTAATCACAGTTAAATATATATATATGTATGTCAGATGTCTGTGTCCTAGAATACATGGAGTATGTGTGGCTGAAGGGCTCACAGTGAGGGGAGTGTGTATGTATGCATGCATGCATGTTTCTGTGTCTGCATGCACCTTCCTTTGTCCCTTTGTCTGATGTAAACGATTCTGCTTTCTCCTCTCATCTGAACTCAGATTCAATCCATCGTAAGGTTACAAGTTCCCTTATAAATCACTTCACTCATACATTCAATCAATTTGCATGTACATCTACCATGTGTTCCTAGAATAAGACACAAGTATATGTGACTGTCATTAAAAAAACCAAGCTCTCTAAACTTAAGCATCTTCAAGTCTAATGAAGACAGAGATTACAGCATTTCTGACCTGCCTAGGAGCTGAGATCTGCTCTGTATTGGTAGAAATACAGAGAAATACCGTAGAAAGCACAGGTTTCTTAGCAAACCAGAATTTCTGAGAAAGCAGAAGGCAATGTCTGCTTCTTCAAATTTTCCTGTAAGAATATGTGATGAAGAATAGAAAGTGCACGATAGAGCACGGTCAGGTATGAAGAAAAGCACTGTGGCTCCACGTTATATGAAAATCCTGTCACTGCAGTGTGCTAGGTGTGAGGTCTTGGGAAATTGCTTCAGGTTTTGAGTCTCAGCGCCCAAACTATAAAAGAGAGAAAACAATTCCATCCTTGAAGGGTGCTGTGAAGAATAAAGAGAGTAATAGTACCAAAGACAGCTTGTTATCTACTTCGGGGCACACAACCATCCCGTGAGTCTTTGGGGGAAATGAAGGAGTCTTGTGTACAGATGGATGTCGATGCTTGCTCATGGCAACACAGGACAAGTAGAGTCAGAGAAGGAGCTTTATGGCTGCTCCAACTGTGTTTATGAGGTGCTCAGTTAAGCGTGTTTCACATTTTATCTCATGTCTACTTGCTGGTAATAAGGATATTTCTTGCCTTTCAGAAAGCCAGAAAGGGTTCTAGATGAAGACACATGGTTAAGGTGACAAAGCTATTGGGCATCAGAGGGAATTGTTCAGATGTTACATAAAACCTGAGTATAAAGATGAGAACTTGAGATGGTTCTAGGACCTTGTATGTAATAGGAAACAGGTAGAAGTGAGGAAGGGAATTGGCTGAAGGGGCTGTTTCCACAGCTGTGCCAGATAGTGCAAATATGGTTGGATGACAGTGAGTGGTCACTAATCCAAGTCTTTCACCACGTGTCTTGTGTTTGCCCCGGTGTGTCTAGTTAAGGTATGATATCAGACTGGATGGGCCAAATCTTTCAGGTGCATGTGGTCTCTCCTTCACATCTCATTTCCTAGGCACTCATTGGTTACAGTTCTACTCTTGAAACCTCAGCTCTGCAGCCCTACTCCTACCCATCAAAACATATATAATGGATTCAGTTTCCCTGTATCATCTTGTTCTCAGGGTAAAGATCATGGTTTAACCCCCATACTTTCTATGAGCTTCTAGGCCAGGGTCTCTCATTAAATATCTATTTCTAGCATTGTATGTGCTGTCTTGATAGTTAGACCAGAGATAAATTTCAAGCTCAAGCTACTCTGCCTATAAAATACAAACCTATGCTTTCAAGAAAAAGCAGCCATGAGTCCATACGAATCAAGCAGATTCTTAGATTTCATCCTGCTTAATGCCGTGGTGAACTTTTTCACCCTCACAAGGATTTTTGTACTAAGTTCAAATACTCAGCAAACAAGTTTTTGGGGCAGCTGGAAATCTCAGTCAAAATGAATATCAGCTCTTCCAGCTCTCTATGTAAATCCCTAGTTCAACAGAATTGGATCAAAACGTCTATAGTATCATCACTGTATACACATGGAAAAGTTAAATAGCCTCCCAGTGCTGCAGGTGGTGATGTCTAATGATTCTTAAATGACCCTATCATCGGGCCAACTACTTTACATAGAAAGAATGATCCGGGGGCAACTGAGAAGACTTCATAAGGCAGAGTACACTTTTAAGTGTGTGTCTTTAAATAGGAAAAGAAACTGAAACTGTGGAACACAAAGATTATAACAATAAAATGGTTCAGAAAGCTAAGGCAGGCTTAAAATAAGAAATGAAGAACAAGCAAAAAGCTGGAACCAGTGTAAACAGCAAACAAAAACATCAGGAGACAAGAAAGTTAACACTAGGAATAAAAATTCCAAATATAGGAGCAGACAGTCTAATGGTCAAGACACTGCTTTGAACACCCACATCCTGTATTATATGCCCGAGTTCAAGGTTCAGCTCTGCTTCCAATCTTGTTTTTTGTGTATGCACATTCGAGTGTAAGCATGTGATAGGTCAAAGGGCTGGTTCCCCACCACATGGACGGCAGATTGGATTTCTCCAGCACCTGGCTTGTACCTGGCCTGTCTGAGCTGTTGCTGGAAACTGTGGAGTAAATGAGTGGGTGGAAGGTCTTTCCCTCCTTCATTTCATTTCTCCCACACAAAACAAACACACAAATAGATAAATAAAATTATAACATTCCAGGTGTAATATTTAGTATCAAAAATAAGATGGAGCAAATTAAAGCTTTAGAATAAAGAAAAATCAATGTGAGCTTAATGAAAGAAGAGATTGTCATGAAAAGATTAAAAGTTGATAGAGATTCAACTTATTCTAAATCTCATACTTAAGTGGAATTAGAATGAAGGCACAAGGGGAGGGTCAGGAAAGAGCCTACCATTCACATGCCACGAGCAGCCAGGGGTCTGTTCCCTGCCTCCCCACACACTGTTCTGTCAGGGTGGCTCATCACCAGTACACAAAAGGTACCTACAACCGTGTGTCCAAGATCTTAAATGCCCTCCATCTATATGTTGCAGTTTTAAAAAGTCATCTATTTTTTCAAATGGATAGTCAACTTGAGTGTCTATCATGAAAACTGAAATACAACATAGTGATCATGATACAATAACGATCAACTAGTACTTACTATTTCCCAACTGCAAGAATGTAACCTTATTTTTCTTTTAGATTTATTTATTTTTATTGGAAAGTTAGATATACAGAGAGAAGGAGAGACAGAGAGGAAGGTCTTCCATCGGATGATTTCACTCCCCAAATGAACGCAATGGCTGGTGCTGTGCCGATCTGATGCAAGGAGCCAGGAACTTCCTCCAGGTCTCCCACACGGGTGCAGGGTCCCAACGCTTTGGGCCATCCTTGAATGCTTTCCCAGGCCACAACAGGGAGCTGGATGGGAAGTGGATCCGCAGGGATTAGAACCAGGGCCCATATGGGATCCCAGTACATTCAAGGTGAGGACTTTAGCCACTAGGCCAATGCATGGGGCCCAAAGAATGTAACTTTAATTATAATCAAATTTTCCCATTTAATCTCATTTGTTTTACTCCCATAAGTAAAGATGAAAATCTACATAAAATAAAACATAGTGAAAACTCACTGGACCAAGTCTAAGATATCTTTCATCGCTACTTAGTTTTGTGACATTAGGAAAGTAGTTGACTTCCCAAGTCAGATTCAACTTGATGGTAAAGCAAAAATATTTCAAGCTTCTTTGAAAACCAGAATGAATAAAAGCACTCCAATTTAATCAATTAATTAATTTTCCATTCATTTGAAAAGCAAAGAGACAGAGACATGACAGAGAGAGGAGTACAGAGACCTTCCTTCCATTGTTTTGCTCCCCAACTGTCCACAACAGTTTGTGTTGAGCCAGATCAAAACCTAGGAGACTGAAACTCAATCCAGTTCTCCTGTACATTGAAAAAATGAACATAAAAATGACCTATCTATAGGTATTTGCTATGTATAACAAATACCTAAATGTATATCATATAAGTATTTGATGGATTTGTTTCCAGATGCTTCACTTTCAATCCAGCTCTTTGCTTATAGCCCTTGAAAGCAGTGGAAGGTGGCCCAAGGCCTTTGGACCCTGTCCCTACATGGGAAACTCAGAGGAGCTCCTGGTTCCCAGCTTTGGACCAGCTGAACTCTGCTCCAATAGAGCCACTTGGTGAGTGAGCCAAAAGATGGAAGATTCTCTCTGTCTCTCACTCCTGTTCTCACTGCATAACACTTCAGGTGGAAAAAAATCAGTTTTTTTGTTAAAAATATAATTGTTACAATCCTAATGATAAAAGGTTAAAAGTAAAAGTGCTGTAAATCGTATATTGTGCAAATACTAATTTCAAAAGAGTTGATACAGCTATATTTTATTAGATATTCAGGCAAACAAAAATGACCACAGATAGAATATATAACAATCTTAGATATATACTATGCAGAAAAAAACAGAACTTCCCAACACATGAAGGAAAAGTATTAGAGCTAGGAGAGATGACAAGATGGTGGCATAGGGTAGAAACAGGTTTGGGATGACGATGAATCATTAGACAGGTTGAAGTACAAGGAGCAGATTCCAGTTAAAGATACAGGTCTGGTGGTTGGCTGTGGGGGTTGGGTACCTAGAGTCCCGAGGACAGTGATTCAGGCTCTAGCAGCAGCCAGAGATCTAGTAGTGGCCAGAGCACCTGCAGCAGTCAGGTGGGAGCGGGAATTCACCACGAGCTTGGGGGTTGAATATAGGCTAAGAACTGCCTATCCTGCCAATTTGATCCAACAACAAGTAGAGAATGAGCAAACGACTCCAAGAGGTGGTTCAAGGGCAGAGTGGATCACACAACACAAACTTTCAGTAGTGCCAGATCGGGTGCCATCTTGTGTAGTTGGCAGAGTGCACAGACATGAAGGGATGACTTTCAGTGGGTTTGTTTCTAGCTAATCACACTGAGCTGACCCCAAGGGGAAAGTAACACCGACTTCACATCCTGCAGAGTCTGTGTGGTCTCAGGATCTGACAGCCAGCAGCCCTGGTTCTCCATCAGTGCCCTGCGACATGCCATCTTGCACAGAGGGTCAAGGGTTGAGAGGACAGGATGAACAGCAGTAAACTGCACATGCACTAAATCAGTAGGCCTCAGGCACCATTTTCATGGAACCAGACAATGTAGGACTGGAGAGACAACAGCTGATCTAGGCAAGCACTGAACTGAAAGCAAAATTACTTCCAGCTTAGTGCACTGCACACGTCCCTCAGAGAAAACAGTTCTGTCGTGGTACCCAAAATAGCTCAAGGTAGCCCTCAGACTTAACGGCTAGCAAGTGTCAACAATACCAGCGCCGATGATAACACAATTATTTAGGACAACTGGTGTTTTCCTAATATGGGATACTGCTTGAAAATAAAATCAACTTGTAGACTGGTGGGTAACACATCTTAGAAACCTGCCCTAACGAGAAGAATCTGCCAATTAGGATTGCAATGACCAAAGGTAAAAAAAGAGACAGAGGCACTATGAATATTAGTGAAGACTCTCTGGCAAAGGAGCAAAAGCCTCTACCCCTCCCAAAATAAACTGAGGAAGACACTGAGAAAATGGGGAAACAGAAAACTCATAAAGTTCTGAACAACAATGATAAGCACATACAGGAGTTCAATGAATTTAAGGAATATGTCACACAGGAAATAGCAGCAATAAATCAAATCAAAGCTGATATATTAGAAATTAAGAACACAGTGGAGCAAATAAAAAATACAGTGGAAAGTCTCAAAAGTAGAATGAATGAAGCATAAGAAAGAATCTCAGAATTGGAAGATATTTCGTGTCACAACGGGGAAACAAAAAAAGAGTTGGAAACAGAGCAGGCTCAAAGCTAAATGTGTTCAAGGACCCGGCATGAAGACCTAGTGAATAAAGTCATCATCTTGAATGTGCTGGGATCCCATACGGATGCTGGTTCTAAAGCAGCTCTACTTCCTATCCAGTTTCCTGCTTGTGGCCTGGGAAAGTGGTTGAGGACAGCAAAGCGTTGGGACCCTGCACCCACGTGGGAGACCTGGAGGAAGTTCCTGGCTCCTTGCTTTGGATCAGCTCAGCTCCAGCCATTGTGGTCACTTGGGGAGTGAATCATCAGACGGAAGATCTTCCTCTCTGTTTCTTCTTTTCTCTGTATATTTGACTTTGCAATAAAATTAAAAAATCTTTTTAAAAAAGTGTTCAGGAATTAAAACACATTTAAAAGGCCAAATGTAAGAATTATAGGAGTTCCAGAAAGTGCAGAAAGAGAAACTGGAATTAAATGTGTATTCACTGAAATAATAAACATAAACTTCTTTAATATGGAGAAAGGATTGGAAAAACAATATCCAGGAGGGGAAAAGAACTCCCAAAAGAGTTGATAAAAAGTGATCTTCACCATGACACATGATCATCAAGTTCTATTCCATTGAACATAAGGAAAAGATCCTTAAATGTGCTTGTTAAAAACATCAAGTGATCTATAGAGGAACCACAATCAAACTCACAGCTAACCTCTCAGACGAAACTCTACAGGCCAGAAGGAAATGGGGTGACATATTCCAAGTTCTAAAAGGGAAAAACTTTCAGCCCAGAATAATGTGCCCAGTAAAGCTTTCTTTTATCTTTGAAAATAAAATAAAATTCTTCCACAGTAAAGAAAAACATGAAGAATTTAACTCTTCTAAACCTGCCCTACAAATGTTACTCAAAAGATGTTCTCTTGGGAGGGAAAACAAAAAGCAACTACCCAAACCAAAGATAAACATGGAGAGCATCCCAATAAAAGGCCAATAAAAGTTTCAATCAAAGAACAACCCATTGCTAAAATGACAGGACCAAACTGCTACCTATCCATATTAACACTGAATTAAATGATTAACTCATCAATGAAACGCCATGGATTAGAGGGCTGGATCAAAAAGCAAAACCCATCTATTTATCGTTTGCTTAGAGGAGACGCATCTCACCAACAAAGATCAGAGGAAACTGAAAATGAAAGGATAGAAAAAGATATTTCAAGCTAATGGGAAAACTATCAGAACTAAAGTGAGAAAAAGACCAATACAAGTGTATCGGGAAATGTAAACAAACTCTTTGGACCACTGATAGACTCTTCAGATACAAAGCTGACAATTATACAGAGATAACTACCGTTATGAGATCTAATTGCTATTTATGGAACACTCCACTCAAGCAACAGAAGAATACACATTTTTTAAAAAAAGCAGGCATGGTACATTTATCAAGATAGAGTATATTTTGCATCATTAGATAAGCTTTATAATTTAAAAGAATTGAAATTATTTAGAGCATGCTCTCTGAACACCCTGTAATCAAACTGGAGTTCATTAGGTGCAGGATATAAAGAAAATTTCCAAACGAAGTCAACAAGTTGCTAAAACAGAGCCCAGAGTTAGAATTCTGTGGCTAATCCTGCCACTCAGTGCTTCCAATTTCATGGTTCTCCTGAAGAGAGATAGAGCCTTGTCTATGTGTTTCTAAGAACACAGGTGTATACTTGAAAAAATTTTAAAGAAAATAATAATTTTATTTATTTCATTTCATTTGAAAGGTAGATAGACAATTCATACTCTCATATACCTGCAATAGCCAGGACAAGATCAGACGGAAACTCAGGAACCCACACCGTGTGGGTGGCAGGGACCTGGGCACTTGAGCCTTCACCTGCTTCCTGTGGCGTGTGCTAGAAGGAAATTGAGGTGCCAGGTACTCTGTCATGGTAGGTGTATGCCCTAAGCCATGTCTCACTGGTTGTGCCAAGTGTCTGTCCTATGGGGATGTTAAAAGCACTCCAGGCATAAGTATGGAAAAAAGAAAAAAAAAAAAAAAAACCTAAAAATTCTTGCACACAACGATACGCCATATTAATGCTGAACATTTTATTTCATCTTCATAACACTTGTCAGTGTTGTTGCTCAGCCTCATCACCTGTGTTGAGCAATAAGGAAATGAGCTAAGAATTCTTGAGAAAGTTATGTCTGCGAGAACTTTAAAGCTTTCTAGGATATAAGGAAGGGCTAGAACCGGGTCAAAAAGTATCTTCAGGACTACTGATTAAGAGTTGATACCCTGTTTTTTTTTTTTTTTTAGGGGCTGGTCTGGGAGGCATGGGAGGAACTAAGAAGGTGTAAGCAGAGGAAGGAAGGAAACCATCACTTCAGTGAGTGTTCTACATCCAGAGCAGGCAGGTGGAGGGTGAGGGGATCCCTGTGGTGCCCAGGCTTTAGGTGGCAGCGTCATGAATTTTATGTATGGCAGAAGGAAAAATACAGCATTTTTAAAAGATTTCACACAAAAGAGGACAAGAGGATCACGATATTAAAAAAAAAAAAAAATGTGTTCCGATAATGTTTAACAAGATAATACAAAATTAGACAAGTCCAGGAGCAGTAACATACCACCAGCACACTTAAACCTTGAAAACCTAGCTACAGTCCACCCCTAAACAATCGCGGGTGGGGTCAGACAGTTAAAGAAAACTGCTGTGGAAGCTGATTTACCCCACTGATTTAGACTGGCCTCTGAGCAACGTGTCCTCCCGCACTGCTCCCTGGAAGATTCCTGGTCCTGCACAGCAGGGTTAGGAACCCAATCAGCCGCACCATCGCCCACTCCTACCTTCTCAACCGCTTCCAGCATCTGCTCCAATTTGAAACTGAAAAGGTTACCAACAAAGGGCAGGCGCCTTGGACCAGGCGGGTAGTTCTTGGGACGCCGCTTTTTGAGGAAGTCGGCAACGAACAGGAAGGCGATGATCCCCAGCAGCAGGGTCCTGGGATGGAGCCCTGCCCAGAGGGCGGACACCAGGGATCCCAACATGGAGAGCATGGCTCTGTGGTCCTCCGGTTCTGGGGCTGGCTGAGCAGGAAACAGTCTCCGTCAGTCCCTGACACTTCTTCGGCCACGCCCCACCTGCTCTGACTTAGCTCACCCTCCGACAAGCTCCTCCCCCGACTGTCTCCAAGGCCGCAGTGCAGGGCCAGGTCTGTGTGTCTGCACCTCAGCGCCCAGGCCCTGGGGACGCCCCGCCCCAGCCAGCGTCTCTCCTCCCAGTCGCATAGTTCCGCCCTCCTTTTGTCCCACCCCCGGCCAGGCTGGCCACAGTGCAGAGGCTGGACTGCTGGGGAATGCTGTCTGACCACAGAAAAGGGCCCAAGCGGTTTTTGTTTCGTTTTATTCTAGAATCAGAACTCCTGTCTTAGTCAGGTGCATTTGGATTCCAGGGTTTGTTGGGGCTCCTGGGTGTAGCTTCCCTCAGGGCGTGGCACTGTGCCTGGTAATGGAAAGGACAGCACCGCATGTTTCCTGGGAATCTACCATGTTACCAGGCAGCACTGGCACGGCTTCCCACATACTATTTGCTTCTGATAAAATTATGTAAGAGATGCTCTTGATAGTGCTGCCAACATAGATCAAATACAAAGTACAGGCTGAAAGGCTTTGGATCCACAGGTCGAAACACAGCCATAGAACACACTGCAGGTGAAAGTGTTCTGAAAATAAAAAAAGTATTACATCAAAATTTTCAGCATCAGTGTTGTTCATGATAGGGTCTCAATTAACATTTGTTGAGGCATCTGTGACCCTCTACTTTTACTTGAATTCCCTGTTGTTACAGAAGCCCCCAAAACTAGTTGTAGGAATTGTCACCTAACCCCTACCTGCAAACTGGATCACCTCACCCTTTGACATCAGACCAGTTTTATTGACACCAAAGTGAATGAAGAATGTAGCAGTATATTTTGCAATGCACACAGCAAGGAGTTGCACAGGTGTCCTTTCAATTCCCCCATTCCCCAAGAGACTGGAAACTGAATCTCAAAGATGAAAGTGGGGCAATGGTGACCAGTCCATGAGCAGCTCCTGGGTGGGCCCCTGTTGGCCCCCCAGTGCTCCTGGCCTTCTTTAGATTGGTCAGCTATGGAGGCTGGTGTGTTCTTCTGAAGATGCTGTGCTGGCTAAGTGGCCTCCAAGCCTTCTGAAGACTAATGGCTTATGGCTCTGTTTGACCAGGGCTTAAAGCATTTGCAAAACATGTCCAAGAAGATTAGTGGTAGGATGTGGACCATAGAGTTGACAATAGAATTCCAAGTCTGACAATCCAGAGTCCCACAGAGCCAGCCTGAGCTTTGCATGATTCCTGGACTTGAGTTCATCTTAGGAGCTGCCTTGTAATTACCGCAGTGCAGACTCAGGAACTTCAAGCCAACGATGAGAGACGGAGGTTGAACAAGTCTACGTGGAAGACATTAGCTATGGGTGTTCACTACCGGAAACCTGCTCCGGCTGACTTGAGAGCTTGCATACTCACTCAGCAAAGGATGCATGGATCAGCAAGAAGACAAGAAGAGGAACAGGAGGCATGAACCACTACGGTGTGATGCTCATAACAGACAACTCAGAATAGTTGCCTTCTTTATTTATATACAAATCATCACAAGCCTTTGCACAACATTCAATTGTTTCATTTTTTACTTCATTATAAACAAATGATTACAAAAACAATCCTAAATTCATTATCATTATTTTACTTCAGAGAAAATATTTTCAGCAAGCTATTACTCATTCAAACCTCCAGTGACCTGGCTGAAGCCAGGAACTCTACAGTTGGAAGCACATGCGGTTACATAGTGACAGGTGGTTTACTTAAATCCAAAAATCAATTTTCACTAAACCTCAACTAATATTACTTAAATTATCAAGAGTACAGAATTAAAAGGAAAGCTCATAAATGAAAGGAATTTATAAAGGCATATATGTTTGATTCTTAATTAAATCTTATAATCAATCATGCATTAATTACCATCACCTTCACCTAGTGCTGAGTCAACTGTTTTTTTGTTCTTTTGTTAAAGGGCAGCAAAAGGCACCAGGGCAACTCAGCCAGTTTACAGAGAGAGGGCCTTTACAAGAAACTTCTTTTTTATCTTTACAAACTGTTTTATTTCCCTAAATATGAGTGCCAATATAAGGTAGAAGTTTTAAGCCATTTTTTTTGGGGGGGGGGGCTCACAATATTTTGTTTCCCTTAGAAGATGCCCCATATACTTTCTGCTTTCCATAGTAAGAAACCAAAATGCATCATTTCATGTGTTGTAACAGTTTGAGGCTCCATGGCAAACAAACTCTTTGTATGTCTATGATTGTCATGTGTTCCAAGATATTATCAAGCCATTTCTTAAGGAAAACATTACTTACATAAGGGCAAGCTTCAGGACAAAGTCAGCATGTAACAGGATGTTTGGAGACATTGTGGGCTCAATTATACTATTTTATGACTTTAGCTTACCTCACTGAAGACACTTTTATCATAACATGATCGATCAGTTTGAGGTGTTATACCAGTTACAGGAATCATTTCACATTTGCAGAAAAACTACAGCAACACCCTCAGGAGAACTTTATGAAACATCAGAGAGGTGATTGAGTATCCATACAATGCGGTGAGGCAGCAAAGAGGTGACCAGATGCTGGGTCTCCTCCCACAGATTCCTCTACTACCCCAAGGGGGAGCAGGTGAGTCTGCTGCCGGCCACTCAGCCTCCCATCACGTGAGAGATACAAGTGGCAAGGGTTTTGTCTAAGCAGTTCTGATTTATTTGAGAAATATAAACTCTTATATAGGAACAGTGTGCAGCCTCAGACAGAAAATTCCAGGAGTTCCAGAGGAGGAATACTAGGGGCCAGTCGTAACTAAGATCAGGAATGTATACCTCCCATAGGCTGGTGGGGTGACAGAAATGGCCCTGGGAAATCAGTCTTTCTTTAAAACAACTTGATCCCCACTGTGGTTCATGCCTAGGGTTCTGCCCTTGGCTGCCATCTTGTTCGTCAGGTGTAACACAGTGAACTTGATTGTTGGTCACCATCTTGTTGGATCAGTGACCTATTCGTTCTTGAGCCCCACAACTTGAGACATTCTGCTGGACCTTGCTAATTGAGGAGCGGTGCTAATCACATCCCTACTCCATCAGTCCCAACTGCATGGCTTCCCACAGTGCAACTTCATCGCAAGTCACCCTCTAAAATGTGTGTTAGTCCTCATCTTCCCACTTTCCACACTGCCCTGTGGTGTGTTCCTGTGTCTCCCCATTTCTGTGATATTCAACATATCAAGGTACTTCCGGAATAATATACAATGCACTCACATACTCAACAAAGAGAAGCATATTTTGCTTATAACATTTTATTTAAAAGGTATGAAAGAGATTTAAAGTCTCTGTACTCTTTCCAAAATCCAAACAGATATTAGGATGCTTCCAAACTTTCTGGAGAATTAGAATTTTTAAAAAAGATTTATTTATTGTTTTTGAAAAGGCAGGTATACAGAGAGGAGGAGAGATAAAAAGGAAGATCTTCTGTCTGATGATTGATTCCCCAAGTGACCACAATGGTTGGAGCTGAGCCAATCAGAAGCCAGGAGCCAGGAGCTTTTTCCAGGTCTCCCACGTGGGTGCAGGATCCCAATGCTTTGGGCCATCCTCAACTGCTTTCCCAGGCCGCAAGCAGGGAGCTGGATGGGAAGCGGGGCCATTAGAACCGACTCCCGTATGGAATCCCGGTGCATTCAAGGTGAGGACTTTAATCACTATGCTGTCATCCTGGGCCCAAGAATTAGAATTTGAAGGTAATTCACCTTGATGTAAATGCTATAGAAATTTATGTGTGTCAGGGGACTTCAAAAATTTCATGCCAAGTCCATTCTTGGAACATATTAGCTAGAATAGTTAGGCTGGATCCCAGCTGAAGACTATGGTATCTCCTGAGAGGAAAAGGCGGCCAGCATTTTACATGGCCTCTCCTCATAACTCTGTGCTATACAAACTGTATTCATGACAAGTCTGGCTGAGACTATGCTGGGTAAGGGCCCAGGACTCTCTGATATGTGTGAGATCTGGGTCTATGAGTGGACCTGATGGGAGAACCTGGAGAACTTCCTTGTTAGGCTGCCCCTTCTGCTAGTGGGCATGTGAGCCAGTGTTGTTCATTGGCCAAGACAGGCAAGGCAGCTCCACTTGTCAGCAAATGTGTTCTATGGGAGGGGATTGGACCAGGAAGGGCCGGGCCAAACTGTAGCACACTGGCACGTGCAAGAACCAAGATAGAATACATACAGACCGTGCTAGGCTAGAGTATCATACCTACCAGTTTGCATTGAGTCCAGGGATGGGGGCAGATGGCAGGGTTAAGCTGGAGTACCCATTGGTGTATATCAGGAAGGGGGTTGGGCCAGACCAGATCGGGCTGCTACATCTGATGACAGAGGCTAAGACTGGGGATGTGTTGTATCAGACTGGATCCCCCAGCATGGATTCACCAGCATGCACAAGATCTGTGCTGGGAACAAGTCTGGTTGGAGAACAAAGTGGACACCCTCTCTGGGCTGTGGGTCTTCCTGGTGAACACAAGAGCAGTGAACCTTGACATGGTGTGGATTGGCTCTGGGGTGTGCCAGGCTTGGCTAGGCTCCAGGACCCACTGATGTTCACAAGAGCCAGAGTGCTGAAGGACAGGCTAAGGGTAGGTCTCCACACCTGCTGAACCATGTGAGAGCTTGGTCTAGAGGTGGACTAGGAAGACCTGGGTTGTAGGACCCAACAAAAAGAGCCAGAATGGATGTGGGCTGGTCACAGAAGGCCAGGAGAAAAGTTGGGCCAAGGCAGGGTGGGCCAAAAATCCACTGGTGTATATGAGATCTGTCACTGGGAGCTTGGGGAAATCCTCTCTCAAGGCTTAGTCCTTCCATGTGAGTACAAGAACCAAGGCTGCGAGCATCCTGGACCAAATCAACTTATAGTACTGACTGGCATATGTGTGGGTAAGATGTGGGGCTGGGCCAGGCTGCGTCAGGTCATAGCACCATTAGCAGATGTGAGAATCAGGATTGAGTGGGATGTGGGACAGACTGGGACAGACTGGATCAGTCTGCTGCATATATCACCATGCACAGGAACTGGTGTATAGGGTTGCCTGGTGTGGGTCATTAGGGTTCACTCTGAC